GGACTGTAGATGAGTCTGACCTACACTGCGCCAGCCAAAGGTTTTACGATAGACCCCATATTTGAGGAGGGGGCTCCTTTCAAAGAGGGGGTGTTTGGGCATGCAAAAATGCTTATAACTCAGAAATTGTTCAACTGTTGTAATTAGTTTAATTTTACATTTTTACATTTAGTTTTTAAAATAAGGGAAAAAATAAAAAAAACATTTTTTAATCTTTATGAAATTTAGTTTTGAAATGGAAAACCCAAAAAACGATTCATACATGGATTTACCTTATATTGGTTAAAAGAAATGATTGATTTTCATTTCCTGAAGCAAAAACTAATGATTTGTCTTAGATTTTATATTATTAATGAGTGACTAAACCTGGAGTTTTTGTCTTTTTTAGGAACATGTGGAACACACGCTCCTTACATGAGGCCTGTTTACCCTTCAAAAACCTTCCCTAACCTCTACTCACTGGCTACCGTAAGTTTGATTAAATACATCCAACAGCTTGTATAGTCTCCTATACTCTGAACACTGACGGGAGCATCCAGCTAAGAATATCTGAAGAAAGATGTTAGAATGTTCAGATAATGGTTTATGAACTGTAAACACAGTAATGTTTGGATTAAACACAGATCTATTTTACTTAATAGAATAAAATAAAATAAAATAGCAAGATGTAAAAATAATTTAAAGCAACTTGAGCAAACGATCAGCAGCTGAGTGAAGTGAGATGGAGCCTCTTCAGACCTGGAACTTTTTATGACCTGAAGGTATCACTGAGTTCAGCTCATGACACTCTTTTCTGACAACAAATCTATAGATGAAACATAATGTGCTGTTTAAATCAGACATGTTAAAGTTTATTAGACAGAAAAACATCTATTAAGTAAAAGTAAAACATTTATGTTCTACATCTGGGAATATTTGATCTTTGGATGAAAGAATAAAATCAGCAGACTCAACAAACTTCCATCGACTCCAGTTTTTAGTCAATTTTTATTATTTTTCCATCAAAGGGTCTTTATCCTGAGTCTCATGGCATCGTTGGAAACTCCATGTTTGATTCAGTGTTTGATGCATCGTTTAACCTGAGGAGCCGAGAAAAACTGAACCACCGCTGGTGGGGWGGACAACCGGTGAGTTCTGTCAGGAAACAGGAAATGCTTTTATTTTGAAGGGGGGAAACGATGGATTCCATTACATTGTTTTCTTACTTCATGTTAAAGACAAACATAAATGTTTGATCAACAGACCTGGGATTATATCCAGTGCCAGACTTATTTTAGCTTCTTATAGATTGATTCAAATCATTTAGCCTTTATAAACAATTAAAARCAGGATCAGGAAAATGACAACTAACTTTAATTTATTTTTAAATGTTTTAATAGCTCCACCAGCCTACTGTTAACATTATCAAGATAGTGTGTTGTAGTTTGTGAGAATATTATTGTTTTTTTAGATCTGGATCACAGCGCTCAAACAAGGAGTTAAAGCTGCCACCTTCTTCTGGCCTGTGTGAGTAGAACATCAACACTTCATACTTTACTTTCAACTTCATAAATCTGTGGGTTGATAAAATAACAGAGATGAAATGATAAAAGTGGTAGGTGATCAATTAAAGCACAGAGTAAAAGAAAACTGCAGAATTTGCATTTCCTGCAAAGATGCAGTGTGAATGCTTACTGCTGAAAGATATGAAAAATTAGCTAAAACTTAGCTAAAAATACAAAAAACAGCAGAAATTTTCTGAAATCAGCTGTGACAATTATAAAAAACTCAAATTAGCAGAAAAAAATCTACAAGAAGCACAAAAAGTAGAAAAAGAAGAGCAGAAACAGTGAAAATTTAGGAACATTTTGAAAGGTTTTAAGGATGATGAAGCTCTATTC